TGACTGGATGATTTTTAGGCATTAAAATGGGATGGCGAGCCTTATAATCGATAGAGGCCTTTTGAAGTCGGCCACCCACTCGCATGAGTCCTTGAGTGTCCAGGAATGGACAAAGTCGTTGTATTTGATCACTACATTCCTTGCCTTTGCGGAGGTTCTTGAGGTCCTCAGCGAAGGCTTCCTTTTGCACCAGCGTGCAAATTTTGTTTTGAGCTGATGCAATCTCCTCAAGTGATAAGGGTCCATGCAGATTTGACAGAGAGCTATCAATTTTTCTTGCTCTAATGTTGTTGACAAAACGTAGTATGTAGGCCATCACGCGTTTCAGAGAAGGCCACCAGGAGAAGCGCTGGAAGAAATCCCAGGTTGCGGGTTTCTCGTTGAGGTGAAGACTGGTCGCTGATTCTGGTTTCATAGCACCTTTGATGAATTCATCCTCCCGTTTAGTTGGGTTCTTTTTAGAGATAGGCCATTCTGACTTTGGTCCGCTGAGCCATTTTGGGCCGGACCACCACATTTCAGCGTTCATCAGCTCTGCTGGCAGCAAACCTCTAGACGCGCAGTCTGCAGCGTTCTCTTCTGATGGTACATGTCTCCAGGACTCTGGTGATACGTTTTCTTGAATCTCCGCAACTCTGTTCCCCTCGTAGGTCTTGAGGCGATAAGCTGGAGTTTGGATCCAACCCAGGGCTACGGTGGAGTCCGTGAAGGCGTGGGTTTCTGCAATCTCGAAGTCTTCTGCTAAAATTGATTTTGCATATGCCAAAAGTTTTGACAAGAGGTGAGCTCCGTTGAGCTCTAATCGAGGTATGCTTAAGGTTTTGAGGGGCGAAACTCTGTTTTTTGCCATGAATAATCGCACTTTTGAGTCTGTATTACTTCTGATGTAGATTACGGCAGCAAATCCTTTTTCTGAACCATCGCAGAATCCGCAAAGCTCTATAGAAGGGCAATTTTCTGACACGAGAAGTCTATCGATTAGAATATTCTCAAAGAGTGGCAATTCTGTGGTAAATTGGTTCCACAGGCACAGAGTTTCTGAGGGAACCGGTTCGTCCCAGTCGAGCCCTTTAGTCCAGATGATTTTCATGAAGGTTTTACACCATAGACTAGTTGGGGCTAAAAAGCCGCACGGGTCATAAATTCGAGCTATGACTGATAAAATTGTGCGTTTCGTGTTAGCAGGCATTACACTTTTAATTTTGTAGGATAAAGCATCCTTAGGTTTTATCCATCGTAGACCTAAAATGC